CTGTGGGGAGGAAGGTATTTTCACGTTAACCATGTTGACCATGTTTAGGCAAAGGCCAATGTATAGGCACACAGTTAAGGGAAGAAATATTTGGGTATATACATGGACAAGACCAAGGGGAAAAAATTAAGTTTCTTAGATAATATACAGAAACTAGTAAGATAATGACCATATGTAGCTAGAAAGGGACCTGGGCAGTGGCCATTCTACCATCTCTAAAATCAACCTACCACATAGCTGTTTAAGCACGGTAATGTTTGTTCACTAGTTGTTTTATGTATGTTAACTCTGACTCTTTTCTAGCTCCTGAGTGCCAAGCCTTATCTCCTATTGCTTCAGTTTCCTCTCTTGTGCTCATTCCAAAGCAAAGGTTTAAAACACAGTTGTATTAAGTACATAAAGCAAAAGATTACAGCAGAAAATCAACTGCACATAATAATGTCATTGTGTCTTAAGTGTGGTGAAAAAAAAAAAAATTACAACCAGCATTTTGTGCTACTAAGATCTATGTTGAAACTCACTGCAAGAGTGGCCATGATTAATCACATATTTTATCATGTACAAGTAATCATACATAAGTTTAATCATGTATTTTAGAGTAAGGCTACTTCCTGAACATCGCTTTTCTATATAAATTACATGTACTATGCTAAGAGCCAAAGTAACTTCTTAGCTCGTCAAAATCTTATGCGTTTGCTAAAAACAAACAAACCAAAAAAAAAGAGTAAGTAAAGTTTTAAAAAATGTTTGACAGATGAACAAAAATATAAAATTATAAACCAGAATTAGAACAATCTTTACAAGTGAGTTAACATTATCACAACCTCACATCCATTACACCGGAGTATCTATACTTATGAAAGAAAATATTCCCAAATATTGTTTTACAAATTTCATGATGCAGAATATAATGAAGGAAAAATCTCTAATTCATTTGCTACTTATTTTAAGTTTAATTTTATTCTGTGATAACTAGAAAAGGAATGCCAGATATTCATGCCCCCCAAAAAAACCTTTCTTTAAACATAAATTAATCAACTGCAATGCCTGTAGCACATTTTTTTAGCCCATAGCTAATATACAAAATCAATAAAAAATGTAAAGGAATGTGGAATTTACCTTGTAATAAAAATTCACAGTATTATGAAAAATGTCAATAGTAGAGTGGTGCCCCCAAGTGGCATACTGATAAATTGCAATACACTGATGGAAAAGTTAGAAACACTATATATATTGCTGTTCTATTTTGTCAAGTTCTTTGATTAGATCAAAAAGTGCATATTATATAAATCTAGATTTCATAGAGGCTAGTCATAAGTGTCCTACAGACCTGCTTGGACTTGTGGTCTATCCAAGTCACTCCTTTAACAAGGGATAAAGTGTATAAAGATATGCTACACTTTTTTTGTTATCTCAAAAGGTTAGAGGTGTGTTTGCAAAATAATGAAGGGAGTATCAGGTCTACTTTGGTCTATTAGGAGAACAGCATTCATAACATTATAGAAATCTTTTTATAAAGAATTAAGTCTCTACTCATCTCTAACATTAACAAATTCTCTATGTTTATGGCCTAGTACATAAAGCAGAATTTAAAACCTTACCCAACCAAATTGCTTGGAGAATGGGTGGTGCTAATTAACGTGCTTTGCTCACAAAGTTCAACTGTCAACACTCTGGGGAAAGAGACTAAAAAAATATAAGTTTAGTTCCCTGCCCCCATACATGCATTAAACATAACAATTGCTGATGAGCTGCTATCTCACACAGCTGAAAGGTTAACATTCTGGGGATCAAATTCTTTCGGATAGTTATAAAGATATAAAAGAATACATGGCAACAGAACTGTTACAAGCTCAAGAAAATTCCTCGAAGAAGTTTTAAAAATCGCATGCTTGACATCATATTGTTTTGTTTGATTTTTTTCTGATGTACAAGTTTCTTATGCTAACTTCTAACTAGCATTTCACTGCAGCAAATTCCAACAACTTTAAGCTAAAAATGAAGATTCGTCCTTATCTGTAAGAAATATACTGTTCAACAGCATTAAGGGTTTTTCTCTATGATGAAAATATACAGGGCCCAACCAAATCAAAGGAGAAGTAACAAGAGAGTCATCAACATAAGCTAATTTTAGAAGGGAGCCCCTGTTTGGTTTAAATACCCAATTTGAGGACTGTTATGACTACAGACTTCGAAAAACTCCTCCACAGAAAAAAGCTCCCCCAAAAATCTAATACCATAGTTCCTTTAGTACACCCTATTCACCTCAAATGTGAATTTCCATTTATTTGCATTTCATAATATTTCTCAAACTGCAGTCATTATCAACAATTCTTATTTTATCATTCAAGAAGTCCCAATCAAGTTAAGTGGAAGCAATATTGTAATTGAGTTTCTAGTACGCATAAAAATCTTACTTTCACATAATCTCTCCCATTTCCCTTCTCTAGGTCATTTGGGTACTTTAATCGCCTCCTGAAGTGCCTTTAAAAATCTGATCTGAAGACACCATTCAAAGAGCTTTTCTATATCTTACTAAATTCTTACTTTAATGCAAAGAACATAGTGAAGGGTACTCCATGCTCTTAATCAGCTAAGAGTTGCACATAGAGGGCAGCCAGGCCAAGATTTGTAGTAAGTATTTTTACTTACAATTCCTCTCCTTGTTTGGCTTTCTTGTCTGAAACCAGATAGACAGTTCCAAAACTTCCACTGCCAAGTTTCTGTTGAAGCACATATCTTCTTGCAATCAAGGTCTTTGGATAAGTGGAAACAGCTACCGATCCACTCAAATACTTAGCAGCCTCTTGGAATTTCAGCATTGCTCCAAATATGAGAGAACTGGTTTCTTTGTTTACAGAAACTTAACATTCAAGTCTCCTAGGAGATGGTCAAATTCATCCAAGTAGCATCAGTTAATGCCTTAAAGATGAAAAGTCCAGAGATCAGGTCTATAGAATGTTGAACTATTCCCAATGAAAAAGTGTTAAGCTTTGGACAGTGATACCTGCATCTCGGTTAGTGCATTGAATGACATCACATTGGGAAACTTTAACGACTTGAAAGAAAAATTGTAAAAGCTGAAGATTCCGATAGAAGGCAGTCTTTCAATAGAATAGAGCTTTCCTCATACATCTATATTTGGCAAAAATAAGTTACAGTCAAATTTACCCAAAGTTCTGAGCTGTATATATAGCTTCCGATAAACAATCTGTTTAAAATAAATGCTCCCCACTTACTTTTTAGAAAACATCCAAATATAAGAACATTATCATTTCATTAAATCTATACATTTGCATCGACCTTTTTGTAAGTCTTTCTTCCTACCTTATGTCTATTTTGATTAACAAATAGTGAGTTAGGATTAAATTTAATTAGCATGATGCCGGTTTCTTTAGGCTTTTTTTCTTCTGTTGACTTTAAACCATGGTATTTGCATTTATTAGAATAGATGTGAAGAGGGATAAGGATTCAGAATAAATTTTTTCCCATCGTAAGCAAATTTTGATCCAGTTTCTAAAGTATCTATACACACTATGTATAGAATAATCTCCCTGGACTGGAAACAAGAAGTGTCACAAAAGCAGTTCAAACCTAAAATTGCATTTTAATGTTAGCTGAATATAAACGTGTTATAGGTAAGTCTGTAATTCCTCAAGGAATCTATAAATGTACAGCAGAATTATGAAAGGCAGAACTATTTCATATATATATGCATGGTAAAATCACTTTTATTTCATCAAAATGTAAAATGTTTTGTTAGCAATCATGAAAAATGGGTTATGCTTTAAATCTACATGAAAATGATTTTAAATGGAAGACTACGACTTGGAGTATTCAACAATTCCAAAGTTATAAGAAAAAATCTATTGTACTTAATGACAAAACAAGATGTTACCTGGGTAGTTTGGGGTACATGGCCAGTGGGCTTCAGATTAGAACATAAATAAGTAAATGTCCATTTATAGTACGTTCCTTCTTGAAATAATGTATTAATTAAGTAAGTTTCACCTGATGCCAGTAAGGAGGCTAGTAACCACCAAGGAAAGAAAGAAAGAGAGATAGAGGTGGGGCGGGAGGGAGGGAGGAAGGAA